TTCCTAACATCTTCTTAATTCTTCTTTGTGGAGTCCAGCCTGAGCAAGAGCTAGACACTGTCTCTACTAAAAATAGAAAAATCAGTCAGGCATTGTGGTGGGTGCCTGTAGTCCCAGCTACTCCGTAGGCTGTGGCAGGAGGATTGCTTGGACCCAAGAATTGAGGTTGCTGTGAGGTAGGCTGATACGATGGCACTCTAGCCTGGGCAACAGAGTGACACTGTCTCAAAATTAAAAAAAAAAAAAATAGTGAATATTTTCGCTGGCAAAAAGGATGGGATCTGTAGCCAAGATCAAAAGACTGATCTTAGACAAGAAGAGGAACACTCTTCCCATTTTATCCAAATTGAACTGAAGATGGAAGAAACAGGTGGGGAATGCAGAGAGGCTAATGTGTTAGATGACAGAAGTTGAAGGGATGGAATAAATCTACTGAAGCTCCTTCCGTATCTGAGATGCTGTGGTCTGGGCCTTTTCCGGGCACTAAACAGGTTAGAGAATGGGCTGAGAGAGCAGCTTCTGTGTCTACACTCCCCAACTAATGGTGTTTGTATTGGTCTGATTCTGCAATAGGGATGATCAACAATTATACTGGGTGAAAGCAAACACACAAGAAAAGAGTACAGTCAATCCTTGAACAACACGGGTTTGAGCTGTGTGGGTCCACTTATTCATGGCCTGCGAAACTCTCGTGTAGGGAGGGCCAACTCTTCATTCAGGTGAGCTCCTCAGGGCCAACTGCACGACTTGAGTAGACATGGTATTCTCAGGACTTGGTATACGTGGAGGGCCTGGAAACTGTCCCCAGCATGTACCAAGGGATGACTGTATATGCTTACAATTTCATTTATATGAAACTTGAGAGGAACCTACTCTGTATAAATAGGTTAGTAGTCATCTGGGAACCAGGGGTTGGTGGAAATATTCTGTATATTAATTATGGTGGGAGTAATGCAGGTGTGTATTTTTATTCACAGCTAACAAACTGTACACTATAAATTGGTGCATTTTATTGTATGTAGATTATTTCTTTAACGGTTGACTTCAGAAAAGAGATAAAAGAAAACCTGTTAGGGGTGTGTGTGCAATGCATGTGTGGGTGCATGTGGGTACATGTGCGTGCGTGTGTGCACATGTGTGTGAGAGGGGGTGGGTCATGGGTGGAAAGTTCTATTTCTAAGAAGGACAGAATGGATGCTGAGGTCTGTGCCCCAGGCAAGCTGAGCCACCCAAGAACATCTAAACTGAACATACTAAAGGTGGCCAGATAGTCTATTAATCAAAAGCAAAATCTGTGTTGGCAAGACAGAATTGGGGTCATCCAGACAGAGATAGTGCTTAAAATTTAGGACTGGATGAGATTACCTAAAAAAAAAAAAAAAAGTAGATATTAAAGAGCATAGAGCCCAAGGTAGAATCCTGAGGGTGAATCACAGAAAAG